CAGGTTCAAATCAATTCCTATCAAAATCCCAGCAAGATTTCTTTCACATATAGATAAGATTATTCTAGAGTTTATATGGAAAGGCAAAGGAATTACAGTAGGTAAAAACAGTTTTGAAAAAGAAGAATAATATGGAAGAAATCCATCTGCCTTATTTCAAGACTTATTATATAGTTAGAGTAATCAAGACTGTGTGGTATTAGTGGAGGTACAGACACGTAGATCAATGGAACAGAATTAAGAACCCAGAAATAGATCCACACCATAGACAAAACTGATTTTTGACAAACGTGCAAAAGGAATTCAATAAAGGAAAAGTAAACTTTCCAACAAATGGTGCTAGAGCAATTAGACTCCACAGGAAAAAGTATCACACATTATACAAAAATTAACTGAAAATGGATCACCGACTAACATGTAAAAGTGGAAAACCATAAGACTTCTAGGATAAAATCTTGAGGATTTAAGGATAAGCAAAAAGTTCTTAGACTAGACACCAGAAGCATGATTCATAAAGGAAACATTACAAACTGGATTTTATAAAAAGTAAAAACTTTTCCTCTGCAAAAGACCCTCTTAGGAGAATGAAAAGACAAGCTACAAACTGGAAGAACATATTTTGAAATCACATAACTGAGGAACAGCTAGTACCGAGAGAGAGAGAGAGAGAGAGATGTACAACTCTTGAAATTCAACAGTAAAAAAGGGAAACAACCCAATAAGAAAATGAGCAAAAGACATAAAGTGACATTTCTTCACCAAAGGATATACAGATGCCAAATAAGGATATGAAAAGATATGCAACATCATTAGCCATTGGAGAAATACAAATTAAAACTACACTGAGATAAGAGTACACACTATCAGGAGAGCTAAAATTAAAAATAGGGACAATACCAAATGCTGTGAGGCTGCAGAGAAACTGCATCACTCATACATTTCTCGTGGAAATGAATATGGTAAAGTCACTCTTGAAAACTGTTTGGCAGTTTCTTCAAAACCTAAACATGCAACCACCATACAACCCAGCAGTTACATTCCTGAGCATTTATCCCAGGGAAATGTGTTCACACAAAAGTCCATAAATGAATGTTTATAGCAGCTTTATTCATAATAGCCAAAAACTGGAAACAAACTGTGGTACATACATGTCATGGAATACTGCTCAGCAATAAAAAGGAACAAACTAGAGATACACACAACAACCTGGATGAACCTCCAGGGAATTAGTCTGAGTGAAAAAAAGCAATCTCAAAAGGTTACATACTGTATGATTCCATTTGCATTTTTGAAATGACAAATTATAGAAGTGAAAAACAGATTAATGGTTGCTGGGTATTAAAGAAGGAGTGGAAATGGGAGAGAAGCGGATGTGGCTCTAAAAGGGCAAGATGAGGGAGACTGTGGTGAAGGAAATGTTCTGTGTCTTGACTGTATCAATGTCAATATCCAGATTAGGATAATTTGCTATAGTTTACAAGATATCATCTTTAGGGGAAACTGGGTGAAGGGTGCATGGGATCTCTACTATTTCTAATAAGTGCATATGAATCTATAATTATATCAAAATAAAAAGTTTAATTTTAAAAAACATATTGACAATATTTTCAACAAAACTAGATGTCAAGATACCCCACGAACCTCAAAATACATCTCAAGTAGGCTTTTCCACAAGACACCTGCCCTTCTATTGCTATGCCACAGATATGCTGTCTATTTTGTCACACTGAATATTTAAAAGATGTCTACTTGAGAATTGAGATTTAATAAAAGTAATGATTTTTATCACTTCATCAAGGCTATTCTTCAGTGAAACTGGCAATTTTTTTATTGCAAGTACATGGCAGTGAAGAATACCACGACTACCTGTACGGTTTGGTGTCACTGCCTTGATGTGTGCTAAGGCACCAACAGTTTGACCCACCCTAGATTTTGCACCACCGGTACAAATAACATAGTGAAAAGAGAAAACAATACCTTAGTATTATTGTAAAAATAGTTTTGACCTTGAAGACCCTCCAAAAGGGTCCCAGGGACCTCTAGGAGTCTGTGGACCACACTTTGAGAACCACTACACTAGATGGACATCGACATCAGGAATAGTGGTAAGCATTACACATATTATTACTCACAGAACTAAGACTAAAAAGGGAGCATGTATTCTACATAATGGTGTGTGATCCATTAATATAGATATAGAACAACCATAAAAAGGAGGGATGAGGAGGAGAACAAAGACAAAAGGAATATTAACTTTTTTCAGTGATCATTTTGGTGGTTGTAGCATGAGTATCGTTATTCTTAGACTGCTGAGTATGTTAATGTGGGGAAAGTAAATGAGTAAGTATGAATGGATATTCTAATTGTGTCTGCCCTGTGTCCTTGAAAACCAGAATTCTTGGTATAGAAGAAAGGAGACACAAATGTAATATAGAAGAGGTTAATATTTTAAATGTATACATATATAAATTTCATATTTATATTAATACGAATACAGATATAAACATAAACATTTCTATTTCCACTGAAAAGGCTTGATACAATGACCAATCCCTACCTCTAGATTATGGTCTTAATAGGCATTTTCCACTCAAAACAGCCAGGACTTTCTAGAAAAAGGGCTGATTTCAAGTCTGAGCAGGAAGTGTATAGGATGAACCTGAAACATTTTGTCATTCCATATAACAAAAAAATTATCAAAAGCCTTATGTCAAAAGAACTCCCTATCAGAAGGGCAATTTCTCCTTACAGAAGCAATAAAGCATATAAATGAAGAAGCAATGATTCTGCAATCCCCAACAAATTAAAGGACCTAGGCAATGAGCATCAATGGTTACTAATATCATAAAAAGAGAGACAACTGGACATTATACGCCTCACCATGAAAGACCACAACACCACCTACAGACTTTCCAAAGGAATGAAACCTAAACCTGATCCAGCCTCTGGATCCAAGATGCCAATTTGCAGGAAAGGCAGAGGACAGAGGGACATGTTAAACTATACCATGTATGTGCAATCAGCAAAATCCAGACTGTGGAAAACTCTGCAGGTCAAATGGCTCAGACTTTTCAACATATTAATCATAAGGAAAAGAAAGGGGTAGAGGAGAAACCTGTAAAGTATAAGAGACATAAAAGGCAACTAGGCTATCATGTCCAGGATTTCATCCTTGAGTGACTAGACTATAAAGAAATATAAAAAAGTGGTCACTATAAAATCAGGATATGATTACTCTTGAGATGAAGGAGGGGATTTTGATTGGCCTGACGCACATGGAGACTTTGTGGTAGCTGGCAAAGCTCTAGTTCTTGACCTGAGTGGTGATTACAGGAGTATTGCCTTAAATAATTCATTAAATTTTACATTTTGTGTGGTCATTGGTATCTCAGCGGTTTTCTGTTATTTTTTTTTTAAGGGCAAATTTTTTTTTTTTACTTTTTATTATTTTATTCAGCTCACACTGGTTTACAACATTGTGTAAATTTCAGGTGTACATCATTATGTTTTGGCTTCTGTGTAGACTGCATCATGTTCACAACCAAAAGTCTAGTTTCCATCCATAACCATATATGTGTCCCTTTACCCCTTTCGCCCTTCCCATACCTCCTTCCCCGATGGTAACCACCAATCTGTTCTCCTTATCTATGTGTGTGTTTATTTGTTTATCTTCCACGTATGAGTGAAATCATATGACATTTGTCTATCTCTGTCTGACTTACTTCACACAGCATAATACCCTCAAGATCCATCCACGTAGGCATAAATGGAATGGTTTTGTCTTCTTCATGGTTGAGTAGTATTCCATTGTACATATACCACGTCGTCTTTATCCATTCATCTGTCAGTGGGCAATTAGGTTGTTTCCAAGTCATGACTATTGTGAATAATGCTGCAAAGAACATAGGGGTGCATATATCTTTTCGAGTTAGTATTTCATGTTGTTTGGATAAAAACCCAGATGGGGAATAGCTGGATCATATGGTATTTCTATTTTTAATTTTTTGAGAATTCTCCATTCTGTTTTCCATAGTGACTACACCAGTTTACATTCCCACCAACAGTGTACAAAGGTTCCCTTTCTCGATTGTCTCAAACACTTGTTATTGCTTGTCTTTTTAATAATAGCCATTCAGATGGGCTTGAGGTGATATTTCATTGTAGGCTTGATTTGCATCACCCTAATATTTAGTGATCTTGAATATATTTTCATGTCCTCTTGGCCATTTGTATATCTTCTTTGGAAAAATGTCTGCCCAGTTTTTCATTGGATGGGGTCTTTTGTTATTGAGTTGTATGAATTGTTTACATATTTTGGAAATTAACCGCTTATCAGATATATGATTTGGAAATATTTTCCCCTAGTTGGTGGATTGTCTTTTCATTTCATCGATGGTTGCGTTTGCTGTGCAGAAGCCTTGTATTTGATGTAGTCCTATTTGTTTAGTTTTGCTTTTGTTTCCCTTGCCTGAGAAGACATCATATTTGAAAAGATGCTGCTAAGACCAACGTCAAAGGGCATACTGCCTATGTTTTCTTCTAGGAGTTTTATGGTTTCAGGTCTTACGCTCAAGTCTTTAATCCATTTTGAGTTATTTTTGTGTATGGTATAAGATAATGGTCTATTTTCATTCTTTTTCAAGTGGCTGTCCAGTTTTCCCAATACCATTTATTAAAGAGACTTTCCTTTCTCCAATGCAATCACAATCAGAATCTCAATGACATTTTTCACAGAAATAGAACAAAGAACCCAGAAATTTATATGGAACAACAAAAGACCCCAAATAGCAAAAGCAATCCTGAGAAAAAAGAACAAAGCTGAAGGCATCACACTCCCTGGATTCAAAATATACCACAAAGCTATAGTAATCAAAACAGCATGGTACTGGCAGAAAAACAGACACACAGATCAATGGAACAGAACTGAGAGGCCAGAAATAAACCCACACATCTATGGACAGCTAATCTTTGACAAAGGAGCCAAGAACACACAATGTATCTCAGTTTTATTTTGCAATAAAAAAGGTTTTCAAAAACAGTGAAAAGGAAACAGTGACTATCTGAGCATTTGTCTTCTGAAGACTGTGGAGACGCAGTAGGAAGAGAGAAAGACGAGATGACTACGTACAGGGTTAGGGCTGGACCATAGAAAAAGTAACCAGTTCGGGACTGAAAGGAGTCAGGTCTTAGGGGAATTTCAGTCCTTGGAAATGGGGACTAAAAACATATTCAAGTAGGAGGAAGAAGGGCAGAAGGGTGAGAGATGCATGATCTCAGAACACAAACTCAAGAATCAGTTCAGGACTCCTCCAAGGCCTCATGGAAAAGAGTCACTCCGGAACATTGACTTCACGAATGTCCTTTACTTAGTCTGGGGCCCAGGCCACTCAGTGGTACTTCAGGCTCCAGGGGGAGAAGCTTCAGTTAAGACCTTAATATGGCTGTGGTGGGAGAACAGCTCTTGAGACCTGCAAAGACAGTGATAAAAGTCTCATGAGGGACCCACCGTCCTATTTCAGGGACTCAGCAGACAGTGCCTCTCAGCCAGAGCCACCCTTACATCTTATCCCCAAGACGTCTCCCTCTGGCCAAAAGATTGAGAGAATGATCCGCCACCCAAAGACAAGGAAAAGGACATTACCTCCTTACCAGACAACTGACTGTCCATATATCCTGGAATGAAAGAGAAGAAAGAAATAGAATGCGCCAATTAGGACCAGATGTCATTATCCTGAGGGCTGGGAGATGACCTGCAGTATCAGAGCTCCATCTCCCCTTACCCCCTGGAATGGTTCTGGCTTCAGAAAAGACTATTCCAGATATCCCTGAGAAGTAAAATAAGCCTTCCCTGCCTCACGTCTTTGACGTTAGGAAAAGTGGGAAGTGGGGGAAGCCATGGGGCAGGTGACAGGGGACTCCTCAGAGGCTCATTACCTTTCTGAGCCCTGAGGTGGATGACGATCCCCACCAGGAGGAAGATGAGCCCAAGCAGGAAGGCTGCAACTCCACTTAGCATCTTTCTCCAAGAATATTCAGACTGAGCTTCTATGGGAAACAGGTCTTCAAGTTAGTAAAAAGCTCCCAATATTTGGTGTACCTTCCTGAAATCCCAGAGGCTGTACTGCGCACCAAATCCAATGCTATCTAGAGAAAGAACAGATTTAGAAATGGTTTGTTGAGGCCAAGGTTTGCCCCCATGCAGTTTCTGTTGCTGATTCTTGTAGCCCATAAGAATGTCCCCGAAATATTAAGACCAAAGTATTAGAGGATACTAATTCCCAAAGTCGGAAGGAAGTGAAGAGGTGATTAGACCTCCTCATTTCCTGGAAGATACAAGGATAGATATCAGCCATGTTTTCTCCCACACTAAACCAAAGACTCCAATTTCTATGACTCCCTCAGATTGAGGGAAAGAAAAATTAGTGTTGTGACCAAGACGATTGCAGAGGTAACTCAGGCCCCATATAGAGTCAGTATGACCCTGAGTCAGTCCCAGAGAGAACAAGAAGCTGATTCTCACTCCACTCCACAGAAACAGGGCTCAGCAGGCTGGGATGATCAACAAGGCAGGTGTAGACATCTCCAAGTTCAGGAGTCATTTCCAGCATCACCATTGTCTGAAAGGTCCAGTCTCCATTCCTGATAAGGCCAGTGGACATGATCCCTGCTCTCTCCTCCAGCCCATTCCGGAACCACCTGATCTTGATGTCCCCAGGATAGAAATCTGTCACAGAGCAGAGCAGCAGATTGTGGTGCTGCAGGGATGGGGTCATCTCTGGATACACTGTCACCTTGGGTTGCACTAGGAAGGGAGAGAAAAATGAGACATTGTGAAGGAAAAACCACCAAGCCAAGACAGGAGTTTCTTTAGGGACTATCTCTGCCGATAATCTCTTTCCCAGATCACCCAAGTGGAAACTGGAAACGTGGGGAAATATCCCCCAAGACTCAGAAACTGGGGATGTCATGCCCCCCAGGAGGATTTAGACCTTATCAGACACTCCGACAATTACTCACTCTATTTGAGGGCCAACCAGTCTGTAAAGTCCCTGAGAACCTTGCAGGTCTGAGACCAAGACCACAGTGACCTGCCCTGTGAGGATATTGAGTGAGTCACAACTGGGGACAGAACGTATAAACAGACTTCCCTGCTCATAACCCACTGATCCTGAAGCAGAAAATTCCCTAGCATAAGGAAGAAGAGCCATGGCCAGGTTCACGTGTAGGAGATTCCTGAACCCCACCAGACCTCATCTTCCACCTCACCTCTTCTCCCCACAGTGAAGGGTGCACCCAGCTTGTAATTGTGTCTGCAGAGCATATCCACAGCAGCTCTACTCCTCGCCAATATATCTGGCCGGTTGTTCCACAGCTCAGCATCAGGCTGCCCGAGCTCTGTCAATGCCACAAACATTCCCACATCGCTGTCGAAACGTGCATACTCCTCCAAGTTAAAGATGAATCTGACCACAAACTGCACCTTTTCTGTCCCATTGGTGAAGTAACAGTCAGCCTTTGCCTGACTCACAAAATCTTCTGGAAAACCAAAAAAAGACTATGAATTCTAGGAACCAGCCACCATGTTTAAGAAACCCGTAACTTGTAAATTATGCCAGACCACATCAATTTGAGAGGAGGCATTTTGACCTCAGTAAACAGACAAATGTAGCCTCTCCCCCTGGTTCCGCACATCACAGTGGAAAGAAGCCTGAGGCCCATGATACCAGGCCAGCCAAAGAGAAATGTTACCCAAAGAAGGAAGCCAAAGAGAGACCCAAGAGACATAAACGTTCATTCAACAAATATTTATTCATTCATTCATTCATTCAACAAATATTATTGACTGTTTTTGTTTTGCCAAACACTGTGCTGGGTTTCTCCAAGCCAAGCTTTCAGAACCCAAGGTTTTAACTCTCTTTATTATCAAGTTGAAAAGATCCACCCCCATATGGAATAATTCAATAGTACTCTCGCCCTTAGCAGGTTCATTCTATGCATTCCTTCTGGAGTAAAGTAAAGGAGTGATGGAGGCGGAGCAAAGAAATGCAGAGTAGGTACATTTTAGTTGTGAAATAAATTCCCCTCCTACCTTACACTCACTATGGGTTTTCTCCTTTTGGATCTTTTCCTTTGCAGTCTTACTCAGAGACCTCATCCCCTCCATTGGCTCTAGTTAGGTAATGACCTCATTACCTCTTTTGGTGTTGGGTAAAATAATATTAATCCATGGCTTGGAGATGCCTTTTATCATGATCATTATCATTATCATCATTGGCACTATACCTATGTGAAGATTAATAAAGGGAAACCTCATTTAAAATGGAGTCAGGGGACCAGCCCCGTGGTGTAGCGGTTAAGTGCGTGCGCTCTGCTGCTGGCAGCCTGGGTTCGGATCCCGGGCGCGCACTGACGCATCACTTGTCAGGCCATGCTGTGGTGGTGTCCCACATAAAGTGGAGGAAAATGGGCACAGATGTTAGCCCAGGGCCAGTCTTCCTCAGCAAAAAGAGGAGGATTGGCATGGATGTTAGCTCAGAGCTGATCTTCCTCACAAAAAAATAAAAATAAAATAAATAAAATGGAGTCAGGAGGCCAGAAGGAGGAACTCCCACACAGCACCACTCAAGGTCAATTACAGGAAAGGTAGTCAATTACAGACCCCAGTGGAAGTCCTCAACAGGAAAGAATCCTTCCTTACAGGAAGAAACTTACATTGCATCTCAAACAGAAATTGACTACCCGAGCAACTCAGCCAATGACAAAGCATCATCACCCAGAACTCTTGCTTTTCTCCAATGGACTTTCCTTCAAAAACACTCCTCCAAATTTCCTCCTTTTTCTCTAGAAAAGAACGTTCCTCTCCCTTGTTTGTTGGATTTGCCTATGGTCCGTCATAGCCTGCACATCCTGAACTGCAATCTTTTGGCTATTCCTGAACAAATTTGTTTTGCTGGTAAAATAACTGGATGTTTTATTTTTAAGGTCAACACCCACAATTCTAGTAGTTGCAACAATTTGGTGATGTGGAATATAAGCTTAGCTTAAACCTTCTTTTGGATCTTTGAAATTAAACATTGCCATTGATAATGGAATTAAAAAATCCGATTCCATCATCCATTATGATTTTCTACTCACAAAGTACCTTACTAATATTTATAGTGATTAGTTTGAGCTATATATTGTTTTCATACAATGTACTTCAAAGCTCAAGGCATAGTGTTAAGTGAGAAAAGAAACAGAATGTGATTTGATGCACAATCACATTTATTAAAATTTAAAATAGACACAGAAAAACAATGCTACATATTTTTAAACGCCACTCTCATACTTAAAGACATACCAGACACATTAGAATGTGCATCTATGGGAGGGAAGGAGTGAGAATGGAGACAAGGGAAGAAAGGAGAGGGTCTTTGTTCTGACGAATGATTACAGTGTGCTGTGAACTCATTGAGTAAGATTAACTCAATTCTATGCACTTAAGAAAAACAATAATAAAAGAACAATTAAAATGGGTTAATAATGCAGGTTGGTCAGGAAAGATCTCCCTGAAGAAATGGCATTTAAGTTGAGACTAGAAGGATAATTGTCACTGATCTTGAGTTGTAAATTCGCTTTCATTTCTAAGTTCAGAGGCCTCCTCCAGGAACTACTGACTGAGCATGAGGATGGTAGCATCCTCCTGGGTCAGCCAGACTCCTCTCTCACTAAGTAACTGATTTCAGATGAGGCTCTAACCTCCAATTCTCTATTCCCTCTTACAGTCCAAATCAAAAAAATAATTATTTTTTATTCAGATCTGTGCCAGATTTAAGATCTGTGCTGATTTTTTTTCCACTTATGTTGTTTAAGGGACATTATAAGCTCAGAAAGGTTTCTATTCTCTAAGAACAACGATCTTCTCCCACCCACCCTCTCCCCAGGTTTGTTCCTCTTTTGTATTAATGAGACTTTGACTTTCAAAGAGATTCTGTTTTTAGCACACTATATCCTGTTTTCTGCTGATAAATATGTTTTCATGGTGTAATGCTGCTTCATGTTTGCATAGCCTATCTCCTCAGCTAGAAAAACAGCAGCAATAAATACATGTACCCAGTAACGTGAGGACAGGGATAATGCACTCAACTTCTCTTATCTCGCAAAATTTCTCAGTACAATTCTGACCACACAATAGGGGCTTGATAAAGACAAATAAATAAAAGAAGAAACCTCTGTTCCCAATTACTTTTGTCCACATATACCCCAACTGGATAAATATAGAAACTGTCACAATCACCAGAGCAAATTCTGGCTGAAGAATGGCAGCCATTCGCAGTCAGCCTCCATTTTTCCCAGTTCTCCAGACGGACACTGATACAACAAGGACTCTAAGCAAGATAAGAAGCTTCCCGTCTTCCTGCCTCCCTCCTCCTTGAATCTGCAGCTCTGGTACCAGAGTCCCTTTTCCCAGCAGCCCATTGTGTGTGGTAAAGAGGGAAAGAATATTTTTCTGTCAAAGGGAAGAACGCTCTCTTTGAAGCCAGAAGCCATTTCCAATTTGCTCTGTGGTCTAGACTGATAAGGACAGGCCTCCCTCCCCCATGCCAATTATTGCATACATACCCGAAAAAAATTGTTCTGTTCTTACCTGGAGAGTCTCTTCCTTGAGTCATGGAGGAATCCAGCCTGATTAGATTCACTAACAGAGCCACCACCCAGAGAACCCACCCAGAAGCCATTCTGGAAGCAAAAAAAAGAGAGACAGTAAAATCGTCAGCCTCTTCAGAATGGGGCATGCCCCCACACAACTCAGTCAAAAATATTCATTAAGAACATAGATATTTTTCTATCCTCCCCAGGACTGGAAATGCCTCACGTTGATAACCAATCAGGATAGAGGAGTTGTGCATCATTAGGTGCTGGGTAGAATACTCTCATAAAGTTGTGTTATACCACTCTAGAATTGTTTACCTGCAGAATCACTGACAGTAGTTTAGGTATGTGGAAAATGGACTGGGAGAAAAAAATTCTCTACACACTATGTGGTCCTAGAAGAACTAGGCAGATTGTTTATTATGTATCATGCTACCCTCATTTACCACAGTCCCTGGCCTGTTCTAACCAATAGGTCTCCCTTCCTATGGAGTGGTTGACATTGCCGACAAACTGTGTAAATCAAAAAGAAAGTAGACAGCATTCTAAAGCATAAGCTCTCGCCTAGAGAATCAGCCAAACCTACAATAGATGCTGTATGAATAAGAAATAACTTTTGCTTAATTAAGGCCACTTGGGGTTGTTTGTTACCACAGCCTGGCCTAACTTAACCTAACCAATATAGGGCAGGAACAAGAATGCTGACCCACTCTCTCCATATCCCTCAGGTAGATCTGAATACAGTATTCATGAATTAGAAGCCTGATCATAGCCCAGAAAATGGTACACAGAGCCTATGACCCATGGTTGTGAATACTTCTTCTAGAGGTGGATAGTTGTGTTGCTCCTATTTGGGAGGGTGTGTGTGGAGCTGAGTAAAAAGGTGACAGGCAGAAGGAGCCCAAGCCACGGAGTTTTAACTTCCTTCCTTCTTCCTACCCACACCTACCTTAGTCTTTCTGATGTAACCGATCTCATTTTACTTGAGGCTAAGTGAATGAGGACGTGGCACAGAGATTATCAGAAGCAATAAAAGCGTGAGAGGGTAGGAGAGGCATAAGTCCAAGCCTGTTGTCCCTCCTCTGCAGGCAATACCCTGGCTGGGCGTCTGCAGTTTCTCTCAGAGATGAGAGAGACCATGAGGAGAGGAAAGAGAGAAGGGCCTAAAGAATATAGATTAAACGGGGGCTTGTATTTGGATTTAAAGGGAAGAGGAGGAGTTGTTACATAGCAAGGGGTAGTGAAGGAAGATTGGAGGATATGGATGCTGAACCAGAAAGTGAGGAGGGCTGCTCTTTCTTACTTGTAGTGAGAATGTATCTAAGACCCTTAAACGCTAAAATCTGACTTGCCTACATCATCATCATAATAGCTAATATTTGTCAATTTCTTATTATGAGTCAGTTTTCTAAGCATTATATAAGTGTGTGTGTGTGTGTGTGTGTGTGTGTGTGTGTGAGGTGGGGGAGAATATTACGATCTCCATTTTATAGATGAAGTAATGAAAGAATGAACCGAAGTTCACAAAACTACAAAGTCCAAAGACTATGCTTTTTCCATTGCGCTATATTTCTCACTTGGGAACCAGGAAAGCTTTATTTCTACACCTTCAACATCCCTGTAATGATAAGAAGCACAAAAGGTCAAAATAACCGAAGAATTTTATTATAACTATTTGGTGCCAGGACAGACCTCTATCATATCTTATCTCACAAAAGGAAATCGGTGGTCTCATACATCACAAGCAAGGAATGCCATAGAGCCTATTTGTAGGAACTAAGAAGAGAAAGCAATACCAACCTGTGAATCTCTCTTGTCAATGGCCTCTAATACATCTTGAATAAATCAAAGCATCTGATTCGTCCAGTTAGAAGTTTTGTTGAATCATTTGCTGTGCTTAGTGTCAATGTCTACTGTGTCTACAATGTCTACTTCCACAATGTCAATGTCAATGTGGAAGGATCTGGGCTCCCCGGGCTTTTCAGAGAGACTCTACAGTTCTGGAGAGACAGCTAACAAAGGGAGAGGTTGTGACCTGGTTCCCTTCTCTCACATTTTTGTTTTTGTGTTCTACTTGTATGAGCTTGAAAACTAAGGCGGGGCATTTTCATCTTTCTCTTCCTGTCTGACTTCAGCCAAGAGCCCTATCATGGACAGACCTTCTATAGACACGGGCTTTTCTGTGATTTTTCGCACAAGCTCATATTTTGCATCCCTCTTTCTCTTTCCCTCCCCATTCTCTAAGCAGTGGAAGAAAGTTGGGTGTGATATATGTGGTTGTTTCTTGAAGGTGGTAAAAAATCATTCTCCCTATTACCTGACACAAATACCCCTTCAACTGCTATTTTGGTGACTTTAAATTTGGAATAAACTGTTCATTTAAATTCATTTTCCTCTTTCTACTCCCTTCTATCACCAGAAACATAAGCTGCCTTGGAGAAGTTAGGAAAACATTCTGAGATACTAGACAGAAAATTAAAACATATTTTTAGAGAACACTGTATGTTGAGCTTCTTTTTAATTGAAGGGGTTGTACTGGCTAAGAACATTGCCAGCTCAAAACGCTTGCTTAATTCTCCCTCGTGGTGATTGTAGTCCCAGACTAGAGGGACATATCACATAAGGGGAAAGGTAAGAAGGACAGGATATGAGGAACAACAGAAATAGTTGGAATTTGGGGTGTCTGAAGCAAACTCATGATTCTACTCAGTGAGAACGCGTTTGGGAACTGAGGGATTAAAGGCTCTGGGCTCTAATCAGCAATCGCTTGTTTGATAATGACGTCTGGAAGGCTAGATCCATGCATCATAATTGGTTTATGCGTACTATGTGACACCATTCTCCTATGATGGTTTTGTCTATCACCCATCCTGGAAAAGTGAATGTTGGTGGTCTTTTTTTATGCTAATTTGTACATTTGAACTCATTATTCCTACGAAATATTCACTGAAATTATAATATTATGAACTTCAAAAAGATTTTCTATGGGGCCAGCCTGGTGGCAAGCAGTTAAGTGCGCGCGCTCCGCTGCGGCGGCCCGGGGTTCGCCAGTTCGGATCCAAGGCGCACACCGACGCGCCCCTTGTCAGGCCATGCTGTGGCAGGCATCCCATATAAAATGGAGGAAGATAGGCACGGATGTTCGCCCAGGGCCAGTCTTCCTCAGCAAAAAGAGGAGGATTGGCAACAGATGTTAGCTTAGGGCCGATCTTCCCCACAAAAAAAAAAAAAAAGAAAAGATTTTCTAGAAAAAACCCATATTAGTCCTGATGGGTTTTTTTAAATCTGTACTAGATTCTGTTTGCAGTATTTTTTTTAGGATTTTTGCATCAATATTAATAAGTAAATTCACCTATAGTTTTTATTTTTGTTCATTGTCATAGTTTAACATAAACATTATACTTACTTCATTAAAAGAAGACCTTTTATGCTATTGAGCCATTTAATTAGGATTGGAATTATCTTTATTTCTTTAAAGACTTCATTGCATTCCCCTAAATATCTGGACCTGGAGCTTTTCTGGGGGTAACTTTTTTGTAATTCTCTCTATTTCTTCTGTGGAAATTATTCTATATTCTACCTCTATAGGAATTGGTTTTGGTATATTATATTTTTCAAGAGAATTATCCATTTAATTCAAGTTTTCAAGTTTATTTTCATAAAATTGAACAAAATAGTCCCTTCTGATTTTTATTCTGTTCCTGTATTAATTTTGTCCTTGTCATAACTTGTCTACTTTTTCTTGATGAGGTCTGCCAGTGGTTTGCTTATTTTACTGAAAAAATTTTAAAGCTTTTGAATTTATGCATTCTACTGTTTTTCAGTTCTCTGCTTTTATCTTTATCTGCTCCTGCTTTCATGTGATTGATTTTGTTGTTCTTTTCATTTAATTCACTTGTTTCATTCTTTTCTTTCACAGATCTAAGTAATTAAGGCCATGAATTCTCCTCAGAGCACTGCTTTAGCTATATCCCAAAAGTTTTGATATGTGATTTTTAATTGTCATTTTTCCATAAATTTTTCAGTTTGTTTATTTTATTTTCTCGTTAGCCCAAGACAGAGACTATTTCTTTAAGTTTCTGTGTGGAAGAGCGTTTTTCTTTTCTGGCTTTCTCTTATTATCCAGCTTGTTCCATTATGCTCGGAGAATGATATCTATACCATTCTTACTTTTGAGGGTTTTTTGTGCCATAATATGTGGTCTATTTTCATTAATGTTTTGTTGGAACTTGAAAAGTTGTGTTCTCCATTTTCAGTGAAGAAAGTTTAATATAGATCCATCATATCTAATTTTTTATTGTTAGTAGTATCTTCTGTGCTCATACTTCTTTTTTGTCTATTTGATCTGTCTAGTCCTGAGAAAAGTGAATTAAAGTCACCTATTAGTAGTTCATTTCTGAATATTTTCCTTGTATCTACCTTAGTTTCTGCTTTACGAGAGTTGCTTATATGCTGTTTAGAACTTAGCTCTCTCTTAGATATCCATTATAAATTCTACGCTTTACATTGTAAAGTGACTTCTCATCTTGCTCAATTTTTTCTCGGTCTGAATTTCACCTTGTTTAATAACAAGATTGTGACCTCTGCTTCTTTTTTATTTGCATTCTCTTGTTATGTCTTTGCCCATCATTTTATTTGTTAAATGAATGAATGAACCTTTCTGAATAACTTTATTTTAGGTGTGTCTTTTGTATATTGCAAACAGTAGGGTTTTTCTTTTAATCCAATCTCAAAATATTTTTATTTTATAGATGAGTTAAGCCTGTTTACAATTATTAATATAGCAAATAGATTCAGTGTAATTTGGAGATTATTATTTTCTGTTATATATGCTGTTTATATGAGCATTTCTTTTTAAAAATCTTTCACTATGTCTTTTTGGGGTTTTTCTAAATTGCAGTTTTTCAGATTCTTAGGAAGGTGTATATTTTGGGATTGTCTTGATAACTTTATTTTTATATAATACAATTAGTTCTCTTTTTCATTGGATAGGTCCTATTCGTTTTCCACTATGAACACCATAAAACTAGCTTTTACCCTCTCCCTTCCTCTTCTATTTTCCGTGTTTACCTTTGTACTCTTAAATACATTCTAAATACGACTACTTGATTTATCAGTGTCAAGGGATATCTTTTGACTCCCAGATATTACAGACAAGGCCATCAGCAAGCTTATTCTATATCCTTACTTATTTTTCCACTTAATCTATAATGACTGAGAAATGTGTTTCTATTTATCAATTTCTTCCTGTAGTTCTGTCTATAATTTCTTACATATTTTGTGACTTTGTTGCTAGAAGCAGAGTGATTTAGACTGACTTTGTTGCTAGGTGTAGAGTTTCAGTATAATGTTCTGGTGACAACTTGTTATCATTATTAATGTTCATCTTTGTCTCTACTAATATCTTTGGTCTTAGACTATATTTTTAGATATCAATGTAACTACACAAGCTGTCTTATGTTAGTGTTAGTTTGTGTGTTTTATTGCATGTTTTGATTTTTTTTTTTTTCTGGTGAGGAAGATTGGCCCTAAGCTAACATCTGTTGCCAATCTTCCTCTTTTTGCTTGAGGAAGATTGTCCCTGAGCTAATGTGTGTGCCAATCTTCCTCTATTTTGTATATGGAATGCCACCACAGCATGGCTTGATGAATGGTTTAGGTTCACACCCAGGATCTGAATCCTCGAACCCCAGGCCACCTAAGTAGAGCGTGCAAACTTAACCACTATGCCACCGGGCCGGCTCCTGCATGTTTTGATTTTAACCTTTTTATGTCTTTAGGTTTTCTTTGTGACTCACATGAAGGACATATAACTGGATTTTGTAATATTATTAATCCAATCTGAGATTTTCTTTCTTTTGACTCTAAATTTAAGCTGTTTACATTTATTGTGATTACTAGCTTATCTAGATTTGTTTCTGTTATCGTATATTGTGCTTTCTATTTTGTTATGTTCTTTCTTTGCTTCTTTTTTTTCCTCCGTTCATCAGTTATATTATTTTTTTAAGTAATCTCTAATTTCCCCCTATTGGCTTAGGAGTTTTAAATTCTATTAGTTAAGAGTTACCCCTACATTTTTAACATGACCACCTAACTTGGCAACATCCAAAGTTAGTCAATAGCTCTACCCTCCTTCCAAACAAGGCAAAGACTTTAGAATACTTTTACTTTATCTGCCTCATTCTCATGTTATTTGTGATTGTTCCATCTTGTTCTTAAATTTAATAGTCATTGTTGGTGATTTCTACAGTTAGAGTCATTTTTCATTCCTCATTCTGATTTACCAATATTTTAGACAGGTTTTTGTTGTTGTTGTTGTTTTGTGTGTGTGTGTGTGTGTGTGTGTGTGTGTTTCTCATCTTTGCTTCTTGCATCCCAGTTTTTCTTTCTTGGTTCAGCATCCTTCTTACTTGAGTGGTAATAAAAGAAAATCAAATGACAACTACAATATAATGCCACTTTTTATCCATAAGATTGGCAAAATCTAAAAAGTTAACGACACTCTGTGTGGACAAGGATGGGGGGAATAGATAAACTCATATATTGCTGATGGAACGGTGCATTAATACAATTTCTATGAAGGCTATTTTGCAGTATCTAAAAATATTAATAATTAATAATATCAATATGAATAATTAATAACATTCAGACTCAGCAACTCCCCCTTTAAGATTTTATCTTGGTGATATTCTTGCACATGTGTATTACAATGTCTATATAAGACATTGCTTATAATAGCAAAAGATTTCCAATAACCTAACTACCCATCAATAGGAGGATACAGGCTAAATGATATATGGTACTTCCATAAAATAGAATATCATATAGTCATATATTTCTAAAGTTTAAAAAGTAAAGTTCAGAAAAAGGAATTTAGGGAGCCACTATTTGTAAAAATAGGGAGCAAGAATATATACACATATATGCTTAAATATACATTAAATTTCTCTGGAAGGATAAACATAAAGTTAGGAGCATAATTGCCTATGTGAGGGGTATTGGCCAACCGTGGGGAAGGATGGAAGTAGGCTTTCCTCTGTAACCTTTGTTTGTAACTTTTGTGCCTTTGGATTTTAAACCACATTAATATATTTCCTATTCAAATAAATTATATCTTTAAAAAACAGAACAGAAGGAGGGTAAGTGGATACAGGGAGTATAGACAACTCTTTGAGGAGTTTTGTAGTAAAGCTGGGCAGAGTCTACCTTTTCCTAGCTGTGTGACTTAGGCAAGTTAGTAAATGTTTCTAAACCTCCATTTTCCCATTCTTAGAACTGGCATAGTAATACCTGCCACATACGATCATCTTGAAGATAAAGCAAGAAGATACATGTCAGGCACTTAGCACAGCAGTAGCACACAGTAAGCACTCAATGAATGATTATTATTGTCACTGAGTTATTGGAGTCCATAACTCTAGGTTGAAAACCCATTATTTCCTAGGACCACTAGATGGCATCAGACTCAAACAAATGGGTGCTCCTTTCTCAGCACCCAAAACAGGAAAGATCTTTGTTTTCCTTATTCCCTAGTCCTTTCCCCCAAAATTCTGACAACTCCACTCTTCCTCCTCTTGGTTCACGACTGCCATGCGGACTGCAAGTGGCTACCCCACTCGGCTAGGGCATAAGGGACTTGAAATTCAAGGCTGTTTCCACATTGAGCAGGGCAGACAGGGTGGGGGGTGATTTGGGGTTCCAAAGAAATCTATGAGAGTTTCCTAAGGTTCCCCCTCTCCATTCAAATCTTCCTTCGGAAAGAGTAAAACATGACTGAGTGGAAAACATACTGAAAGTAAGTGACGAGAAGAGGAAATTATGGGGCAGGGAAATCAAATGGTGTTGGCGGGTAGGAGGGACGAATGAAAAGAACTAGAACTTGGGGACAAACCAGAATTACTAACATCTGTGGATATGAGACAGATTATACTTGTGAAGATTTGTCTGTCTAGGTTGAATACTTTGACCATCAGAGGACATTTTTCTGTGTCCCTGACCTAAGGCTTACCTGGCCGTTTCCCCTAAGATGATAAATTTTCAGGACATCTTAAGATCCCAAGGTCTGCTGTATCTTCCTGCCCTGCCCATCAGGATGCCTGAGTTTTCCTCCCAGCTCTATCACTGATTGTGTGTGTGATTTCAAGCCGGTTTCCCCATCTGTAAAGTAGGATTTGACTGCTACATTATTTTTTAAGATGCCTTCCAAGTTTAAAGTATTATGAGTCTATGGGTGTGATTGTACTGAGGATATCAAAGAATTTTAACAGATCTTCTTCTTCCATGAGGGCTACAGTTTCCATAAGGTTGGGAGAGACAGGAATTATTATTCCCCTTTGGTAATTAGAGAAAGGACATTTTGCATGGAGGAGAAGGAATCAGGCCAGGCTTCTCTCTCTCTCCAAATGCATATTTCATCCTCAGTAACATTTGGGAGATGGAAGGGTGTGGCACAGCACGGCAGCAGCAGGATGAGGCAAAGGCTTATCTGCATAAGAAATTCCCTACTCTCATCTGGCCCCGCTCCCAACAGTTGCCAGGCAGAAAAAAAAATCCAACACAGCAGAAGTCTGGCTAGTTCATGGCTAGTGCTGGAAAGTACTTGCTATTTCTGGGAATGTGAAAGTTTCTCTTTCCTAGAATAGGAACCTTCAAAGGTAAGTCCCTCCTAGTTACCAGTAACTGTACAACTTTGGATTTTCGGTGGTTGGTATGTGTAGGGAGGGCTGAGAATGAGGACAGCAGAGGAAGGAGACTTACTCATAGATCCAACAAACATCTATTTATTGTCGACTAGGGATAGAGCCCTGTGCCAGGCAGTAGATATAAAGCTTAATAAGATATATGGCCCTCCCCCCACCCCAGGCATTCATGGTCTAGTGGAAGGACTAAGGGGAGTGGGGAGGAGAGTTTAATGAGGGATGTGAAAGAGGCCAGACGGGGAGCAACAGGAGCACATGGAAAGGGCATTTCCTCCAGACTGGGGAGAAGAGGGAAGGCTTCCTGGAGAGCTGAACCTGGAGTTAAGTCTGGGAGAACTTGGGGTACATCAGGGAGGGTGGTGCAGGGAATGGCGCGGAGACACCACCTGTGAAGACACAGGGGCAGGGGAAGGGCCAGAAGTTTGCTGGGCTGGAGCTTAATGCCACAGGAAAGGGCAAGACAACGGGGCTGGAAACCCTTGTGTGCTCTGAGGAAGATCTGAGCAGAAAGGAATGAAGAGCACTTGAAGGGTTTTACAGAAGTGACATCGTCCTATGTGCCTTTTAGAAAGAAAAGTAAATTCATGAAGAATGGCTGGAAGAGGTGAGCCAGTGGTAGGGAAACCTCTTTGGAGAGGAGATTACCTAAGATTGAATCAAAGTTATAACAATGGGACTGGAGAGAAGGTAATGGATTCAGAGCTACACAGCACTAGAAGTCAAAGAGCTTTACTTGATCTGATTATGAATTAGAGATTATGAACACAAGCTGCCATATAATTTATTGGTTGAGAGTGTGAACTCTGGGGTCAGGCCTGGATTCAAACTCCAACTCCACCACTGTGTAACCTTGGGAAAGTTATTTAGTCTCTTTGAGACTCAGTTTCCTCATCTATAAAATGGGGATAATAACAACCAGCCTCATAGGGTTGAGGATAAGGATTAAAAATGATAATGCGTGAAAAACGCTTAGTATAGTTCCCACTCTTAAAAGTCTATAATCGGTAGCTATTATCAATGTTTTATTAACACTGCTAATTAGGGAGCTGTGCTCTGCCCTTCCCTAGCTCACTCCAAAATATCAGACACTGGTGGGAATGGGGAAGGATACAGACAGACAAACTCTTGAATATTTATGTCATATTGGCTAATCTGTATATCAAAGAACAGATAAAAGACTGACAGGATAGCCAGCAAAATGGTAACCAGGGTTATCTCTGGGAGGTGAAACAAAGGTTAGTTTTACTTTTCTATATGAAGGTGTGCTATTTATATAATAAGGAAAAAATATTTTAAAATATATTTATTATGCCACAATACACTACTCAGCACCAGGTAAAGCTCTGTTCATCAAGGAAATAAGTTTCGTGGACACAGGTAGCACCCCCCCACCCCCACCCCCACCCTCAACGAGAGCACACACAGTCCAAATCTCCATCATGCCTCCAACTCCGGAAACAACTACCCAGGGGCACAGCCCCAGGGAAACTCAAAGCAGGAGCTACTCTGGGTCATGAAGATGGCCATGAGAAGGGCCCAGTGTCCCTGGGGCCTCAGTCCTCCAGAAGCTGCTGCACCAGGCAGGAATAGGGGTCCTGCCCCTCCATGAGCTGGGCATGATCCACCAGCTCTCCCTGCCTGAGCACCAGGACCTGGTCAGCGCTCTGAATCATCTGCAGCCTGTGAGCAATCACCAGCACCGTGCGGTCCCCGCGGGACGTCCAGTCCTGCAGCTGAAGGGAGAGGATCACAATGCCTCAGAGAGATAAGAACGGGATGGACACCACACCCCAAGTGGGCCCCATCTCTTGAGGCTTAGGGTAAAGAAGCCACGAAACATGAGAAGGTAGGCAAGAGCAGAAGATAAAGGTCTGCACTGCCCTTCTCTCTCAGCTGGATTATTGCAGCTGGTAGACAGGAAAGAGAGCTATGGAAGAACAGAGAATGTTCCCAGACCACCGTATTCTCCACTCCATTTCCCGACCCTAAGAAGACACAGCTACTCTTTCCACTAGTGGCCCATTCGTCCTGCCACCGCCCGATTCTGCACAGGCTGCTCCTGCAAACGTGACCCCTCAGGTCCCATTGTCCCTTGCCTCTCCCACCCCAGTACTCACAGCCTGCTCACACTGGACGTCCAGGGCACTGGTGGCTTCATCCAGGATGAGGACTCGTGGGTCCCGCACAAGGGCCCGGGCAATGGCCAGACGTTGTTTCTGTCCCACGGCCAACTGGTTCCCTTTCTCTCCTACATCTGGGGAAACCGAGAAATACCCTTCCTCAGACAAAAGTGACCACAACAACATCTTCCCCACGAGCAGGGACAAGTGCACAACTGGTATTTCCACTAGCAGCAGTTAGGAGGCAGGAGGGCCTGGCGTAGGGAGGGTGGTGGGGTGGAGACCTGCTGGAGCTGCCCGTGTGGAGGGAGCACTGCTTCTGCTTGCTCTCTGGGAACAAGGACTCCTGAGCACGACAAGCGGCTAAGGAGCTCAGGGTGTTGGGGAAGGAGGGGAAGTGGGAGCTGAGGAAAGGGCAAGGAAACAGCACATATCAAGTTACAGGGACACAGCCCTCACTCCAAGAGTAAGGTCCAGTTTCTCTCTTGACTCACGGTACCTGTATTTAGTCCACGCTCCATTTCTTTTATGAACTCATCCGCTTTGGCAGCCTGGGCAGCAGCCATCACCTTTTCATCACTGCAGCTCTTCAGCCCGTAAGCAATGTTGTCCCTCACAGAACCCGAGAGCAGCACAGGCTCCTGCCCCACCAAAGCCACCTGTGCACAGGGGTGGGAGCAGAGGACTGCGTGTAAACCCGCATGGCAGGGATCCTCCTTTCCTCCCCCCTCAGAATGGACTCCCTGTGTTTCTTCCCACGGATCGCCCACGTTCCCTCTGCACGTGCTTCTTCTCTCCTATCTCCTACCCCTCTTCTTCCTCCCTACCCACCTGTTGGTGCAGGTAGTGGTGTTCATACTGGGGAAGGGGCTCCCCATCCAGCAGCAGCTGCCCCTCCGTGGGCTGGTACAGATTCTGCAGCAGGGCAGCCACTGTGCTCTTCCCAGACCCATTGGGCCCCACTAGTGCGGTCATCTGACCAGGACGTAGGGTGAACGTGAGCCCCTAGAAAAGCCAAGAAAGAGTTAGGAGCCTGCCTCTTCTCCCTCAGGTCCCCTCCCCTTTTCTTTCTATCAAAGGTAAGATCAGCTTCTCAGAGGCAGATGATCTACAGGCTGTGAGGCCTGGTCACACATAAGCAGCAGGCAGCAAAGGGCCCAGGTTTCCTTCTGTGGCCTCTTCAGGTACCTTGAGCACAGGCTGGTCAGGGCGATTGGGATAAGCAAAGGAGACATCCTGGAATTCCACCAGCCCCTGCAGAGTGGGAGGGGCCAGGGTTCCGGGGGGAGGCAGATTTGGCTGTCGGTCCAGGTAGTGAAAAACCTTCTCGGCAGCCCCCACGTTGCTCAGCATATCCCCAAACATGTATACCAGGGTCTGGAAGACAGGAGTGGAGGGGTCATCTAATCAAACGTAGCTCCACTAGAAACCAACTTCCCAGCTCTTCACACACTTCCCTGCCACACTCCACCCCAGTCACACTTCTCCTCCCCTCATCCAAAAAAGATTCTCTACCTTTAAGTGTGCAATTTGGATGGAATTTAAAAGTGGCACCAATCCCTACCCCAGTGTTCCAATTTGCAATATAAAGGATGGAGAAGTCCATACTCTTCCCTCCTGTACAGAATTACTTCTATCCCCAGACCTTTTCAATTACGATTTTGTGTTACTTGAGCACAGTTTTTCCCTGATTAGACAGTGAACTCCTTAAAGCAGGCACTGTGCCTACCTCATCTTTGTAGCCACCAGAGTGCCTAGCACAGTCCTTCACACATAGAAGATGATTAATAAATGTCTAGGAAAACTATAAAATAAAGCCCAAGACGAAGGAATTAATTAATTAAAACTGGTAAATACAGGGAAAGAACTAAATGCTCATTCTGCCTTTCCTAATCAAACTGTAACCCTGGGTAACCAAACAGCAGATGAGGAGACATCTCCCTTGACAGAGGCATTCCAGCTAATCAATGAAGGAATAGTAGAATATCACCATTTTTGCAACCCTTAATAATTTAATGGATCTAGGCAATGAGCATCAATGGCTGATACCACAGATATATATGAGAGATATAAATGAAATATATACACTACATGACATGTATGAGACAAGTGGAAGTTTGACCATTGACTGTATTTGATGAATTTTAGGAATTACTGTTAATTTTTTAGGTTGGATAATGGCATTGTGGTTTCTTTAATATTTATATTTTAAAGATACATACTGAAATATGTAGAGATGAAACTATATCTTGGATTTGCTTCAAAATAACATGGGTCGGGGAAGTGGGTGGGGATACAGATGAAACAAGACTGGCCATGACTCGATAATAGTTTTTCTTTGTTTTTGGGTGTTTTTTGCCATTGTTTGGAATTCTCCATAACAAAATGAGTTAGGTTTGTTTTGTTTTGTTTTGTTTTGTGAGGAAGATCAGCCCTGTGCTAACATCTGCGAATCCTCCTCTTTTTTTTTTTTTGCTGAGGAAGACTGGCCCTGGGCTAACATCCGTGCCCATCTTCCTCTACTTTATATGGGACGCCACCACAGCATGGCTTGCCAAGCGACACATTGGTGCATGCCTGGGATCCAAACCGGTGAACCCCGGGCCGCCGCAGCGGAACACGCGCAATTACCCGCTACACCACTGGGCCAACTCCTTGTTGCGTATTTTTAAGGAGAACAGATAAAGCCCGAGGCCCAGAAGGCCAGAGAGAAAAAGGGAGGGGAAAACAGCACGCACGGGCTCCTGACTCACCTGCACATAGCTGCCCACATCCTCCTGGTAGAGCAGAAAGGAGAGCAGCCCGCCCCGCGTGAGGTCCCCGGCCAGGATCTGCTGCAGCCCACAGGTCAGCATGAGCACCTGCACTCCCAAGTGCAGCATCTGGAAGGCGAGAAGAAAGGCAAGGCTGAGAAAGAGTCTCCCCACTCTTCCCCTATGACATTAAGCAGCAGAGACCTCAGGACCAGCTGTAGGCTTCCCATTGCTTTCCCGGCCCTCTTCCCTGGGCCCTTCGCCCCAGCCACTGGGCCTTCTCACCCTCCTTATGAGAAGGTAGAGGGCTCGCTCCAGGTCTCGTCGCCACCACAGCTGCCGACATCGTTCAAGGGCCTCCTTATAGCGACAGACCTCCTGCTCCTCGGCCCCAAAACTGCGCACAGTCTGCAGTCCTCCAACGGCCTCCCGCACCACCTGCCCTGCCTTCGCCACTGCATCCTGGGTCTCCCGAAGCACTGCCTGGAAAAGTGGGGCAGGGGATAAAAGGGGTTGATTCGGCAGAAGACACAGCAGACCCCATGTCTCCTTCCAGCCCAATGTGGAATGCTCCCCCAATCTACCTAAAAATTTCAAACTATCCTCTTTCCATCTTCCTTACATTTCTTTCCAGAAGGAATAATGAGAGTGAAGGAGGGAGGGAACAAAATATTACTGAGCTCTCAGTGACAGGTAGTGTAAGAGACACACGTTATTTCTTTTGAACTTCATTTGAGGTCATTCACACCACTCCCAGTAACTGAATGAAGAGAGAAGAGGTAGTTTTCCCAAAAAGCCCCAGCTAACTAACAGAAGGTGGAGATGTAACTTAAAATGGATCAAAGACCTAAACATAAGAGCTACAACCATAAGACTCCTAGCAGAAAACAGTGGGGAAAAGCTTCATGACGCTAGATTTGGCAATGATTTCTTGGATATGACACCAAAAGCAGAAGCAACAAAAGAAAAAAATAGATAAATTGGACTTCAGCAAAATTTAAAACTTTTGTGCATCAAAGGACACTATCAACAGAGTAAAAAGACAACCCACAGAATGGGAGAAAATATTTTCAAATCATATATCTAATAAGCAGTTAATATCCAGAACATATGAAGAACTCCTACAACTGAACAATTAAAAAACAACCCAATGAGCAAACAACTTGAATAGACTTTTCTCCAAAGAAGGTATAAAAATGGCCAATAAGCACATGAAAAGATGTTTAACATCACTGATCATCAGGGAAATGTAAATCAAAACCACAATGTGATATCACCTCACAACCATTAGGATGGCTATTACAAAAAAAAAACAAAAACAGAGACTAAGTGTTGGAAGAACATAAAGCAACTGAAACCCTTGTGTATTGCTGGTGAGAACGTAAAATATGTAAAATGGTGCAGCCACCGTGGAAAACAGTATGGTGGCTCTTCAAAAAATTAAAAACAGAACTACCATATAATCCAGGAATTCTATATACCCAAAAACATTGAAAGCAGAGACTCAAACAGATATTTGTACACCCATGTTCATAGTAGCATTATTCACAACAGCCAAAGGGTGGAAGCAACCCAAGTGTCCATCAACAGATGAATGGATATACAAAATGTGGTCCATGCATCAATGGAATATTATTCAGCCTTAAAAAGGAAAAAAATTCTGACACATGTTGCAACATGGATGAACCTTGAAGACATTATGCTAAGTGAAATAAGCCAGTCACAAAAGGACAAATACTATATGACCCCACTTACATGAGATACCTAAACTAGTCAAATTCACGGAGTCAGAAAGTAAAATGGTGGTTGCCCCAGGGTTGGGGGAAGGGAGAAATGTGGAGTTAGTTTTTAACTGGCATGGAATTTCAGATTGGGAAGAGGAACAAAGTTCTGGAGATGGATGGCAGTGATGGTTGCACAACAATGCAAATTTACTTAATGCCACCAAAATGGCACAGTTAAAAATGGTTAAAATGAGAGCAGTGGATATGAATAGACATTTTTCCAAGGAAGATATACAGATGGTCAATAGGCACATGAAAAGATGTTCAACATCACTAATTATTAGGGAAATACAAATCAAAGCTATAACGAAATATCACCTCATGCCCGTCAGAATGGCTATTATTAAAAAGACAAGAAATTGGGGTCGGGCCAGTGGCATAGCAGTTAAGTTCGTGCTTTCACAGGTTCAGATCCTGGGCATGGACCTACACACGGCTCATCAAGCCATGCGCAGGCGGCGTCCCACCTAGAGCAACTAGAAAGATGTACAACTACGACATACAACTATCTATTGGAGCTTTGGGGAGAAAAAAAGAAAAAAGGAGGAAGATTGGCAACAGATATTAGCTCAGGGCCAATCTTCCCTCCACTCCGCCCCCCCAAAAAAAAGACAAGAAATAACAAGTGTTGGAGAGATGTGGAGAAAAGGGAACTCTCATACACTGCTGGTGGGAATGTAAACTGGTGCAGCCACTATGGAAAACAGTATGGAGATTTCTCAAAAAATTAAAACTAGAAATACCATATGACCCAGCTATTCCACGTCTGGATATTTATCCAAAGAACATGAAAACACTAATTTCAAAGGATATATGCACCCCTATGTTCACTGCAGCATTATTCACAATAGCCAACACTTGGAAGCAACCCAAGTGCCCATCAATGGATGAATGGATAAAGAAGATACCGTATTATATATACAATGGAATACTACTCAGCCATAAAAAGGACAAAATCGCGCCATTTGTGACAACACGGATGGACCTTGAGCGTATTATGCTAAGCAGAATGTCAGAGAAAGACAAATACCACATGATTTCACTAATATGTGGAAGATAAACAAACAAACACATAGATAAGGAAAACAGAGTGGTGGTTACCAGAGGGGAAGGGAGTGGGGGAGGGGGGTGAAAGGGGTCAAGGGTCACAAACGCATAGTGACAGATGGAAACCAGCCTTTTGGTGGTGAAAACCATGCAGTCTATACAAAGTTAAAACACAATGACGTACACCTGAAATTTACATCATGCTATAAACCAATGTGACCTCAATAAAATAATTTTAAAAAATAAATAAATAATAATAATTTTTTAATGGTAAATTTTATGTTATGTATATTTTACCACAATTTTTTTTAAAGGGAGAGAGACGGTGCAGCTGCCATTCATTCAGACTCAGGACTTCCTGGCTGCACGTTCTACTTTCTCTACATTCCATCCAAATTCCTTCTATTGATTATAAAAGGGAAAATTCTCTACCTAAAATCTTCTACGATGGCATTTTTAATCTTCTGTGGGGAAGGTGTGTACAGACTCCTTTGAAAATCTGATGAAAAGTTATCCTCTCCCCAGAAAAATGCACTTGGTCTGTTTCCTTCTCCCTCTCCCTCTCTCTCTCTCTCTTTCACACACACACACAAAGACACACACACACACTTGCATACAGTCCCAGGGGGGCGGACCTTCTGATGCCTGTCACAACTGCTGCTCTAAGGGCAGAGAAGAGACGACCTCTAGGAGAGCTTTATTCTTCTTTGGGGATTCTCTCACATCCACATATACCTGACGGCGGACGCGGTACACCTTTTCAGCTGCTATGTTGAGAGGCACGTGGACCAGAGAGAGGAGGGTGAGCCGAGGTGACAGGCTGAGCATGAAGCTGTACAGTCCCACCACTTTCACCAGGCTCCGCAAGAGCACATTGGCGTTTAAAGGCAGCCAGCAACTCATCAGGGTGGTGTCGGAGCTCAGCCGTGAATTCAGCTCCCCTGGGGAGGACAGAGCAGGTAAGGAAACCATGTGTAACGCAGAACCCCCAGAAACTCCCTCCCTCCTGTCTCCTCTGGCACAGCCCCTCCTCTAAACACCCTCCCTCACTTTTGGGAGAGCAGTGGAGGCTGCCTCACTGCCCTGTCCTAAAAGAGAGAAAAGCAGCCCTAGGCCCTGGCTCCCCGGATGCAGGCAGGAGAGGCTGTGTGCAGGTGGAGGGTGACTGAGGGGCAAGGAATGCCCGGGGGAAACCCAGACCTGGACTCCAGGCCCCACCTGTCTTAGTCTCCTGGAAGAAACCGAGGTCCTGGCGCAGAAGGGAGGAGAAAAGCTGCTCTCGAATCCGCAAGTTGATTCTAGACATGGTGAAGGTGAAGGCGCTTCCTCGGCAGCCCGCGGACAGTGAGCTGCAGGTAGGGAGGAGACAGTAGGAGAAGGAAGGGGAGAGAGATATAGAGAAGGAGGGCATAAGTGAGAGAAGCAGAGGAGAGAGCATGGAATGAAGAAAAAATACAAAGTTGGGGAAAGTATACCAGGAGACGCAGAAGAGAAACAAGTAAGAGAGGGGGACAAGAGGGGCAGGAATAAAAAGGGGAAGAAAAGAGAGGACATGGTGAGCTGGATGTGGGAACACAATACTAACGTGCAGAAATACACGTGTATTTATGGAATTCACTCTGTGATAGACACAAGGGAAGAATACAATAGAAGTGAACAGATGATGTGAAAAGAAATAGCCTATGGCTTGCTTCTGACCTGGCCTCCCTCAGTGCTCTCCCTCCAGCCTTCCTCTCTGTCTTGGTCTTTCCCCACTGCCCCCTACCCCCACCCCCACCCCAAAGTCCCTTTTGCTAGTCCCAGATAATTCACTGTGGGAACTGCAGCAATGAACTCTCCTTCCCCAGAGCCCTAGAGTCACGCTTTTCCCCCATCTCCATCATCCCTGGAGTTGGAGAATTCCTCTTAGACTAACCAGTTTATTGTAAAACAATAAAACTTAAAGGAAAAATGTGAAAGCATAGCAGGTATTTTACAAAATATGTGTTTTTAATACAAATCTAGTTACCATGGTTAGGAGGCTATTGGGATAGTGAGACATAAAATGATGAGGGTTTGGACTTTGGTGATCATAGTGGGAATGGAGAGAAAGGAGCCAAAGGAGAAACATTTTGAAAGAAAATAACAGGGCTACTGTTTGAACATGAGAAAGGCATCAACGAAGCTGACGCCTGGAGCCTAGGATACTGATGGGGAACTCAGGAAGGGGACTAAGAAGAGGGAGCCACTTTCAAGAAGACAGGAGGGAATGTAATGCATTTGGAGCTCTGGGTATGTGGAATGTGAGATGAAAGTGGGCTATCCAATGGGAATGTCAAGGAGGCAACTGGACTACAAGACTGTTGGTGGGCATGGAAATATGGATCTGGGAGTCATCTGCAGAGATGAACTGAGTTAGCTCAATAGGAAAAATGCTCTTAAAGACCAAAGAACTGAATCACAAGGAAAGTCCATATTTAAGGATCCAGAGGAGGAGTGGATTGAGAAGTAGGAAGGGAGTTCATAAAAGCTAAGTGAAGAAAGAGATCAATAAGAGTTTATTCTAATGCCAAATGAAACGGAGAAGCAAAGAGAATTGAGGACTGATTTAAGAAAAAAAAAAAAGCAGTGGATTGATGAATAAGAAGTTCACTTCTCAGCAAAGAGTAGCAAATATGGAATGAAGGCATAGTGAAGAACTGATTTTTGAGGCATTCTCAGCAAAGTATGACCATAACAAAGGGGCAGCACCAAGCAGCGGGCTGGTATTAGGGTAAGGCAAGTGAGGCATCTGCACCACCCTAGGAGCAAGCACCTCCTTAAATTCTGCACCCTGGGTGCCTCACCCACCTCATCCTCGCCCCTGCCTGATCAACCAGTTAGTTAGTTAGTTAGTTAGTAGACAGCAGACTCCTGAGTATGTCTAAAAACAGAGGAAAAAGAAAAAGAGTGAAGATGCCTGAAAGAAAGGTGCTAAGCTTCAGAGTAAGATCTTCAGGGATTGACTTGTCTTAGTCTCCCGGAAGAAACTGAGGTCCTGAAGGGAGGGAGAAACATGTCCACCTTGACAAGAGGATAACTTTGCAAACAAACTTAGGAGTGGGAGGTAGGAGGCAGAAAAGAGACATGGAATTCCATGGAGACAGAATGTTGAGGGGCAACAGAGAGACATTCCATTTGACACATAAACTCCTTTGAATTACATTTACTAGTACTTGTATCTATAATCACGTACTATAAACTTGGAAGATGCTGGATAAATATGGTGAATGAAGGAATGAATGAATGGATGTATGAAACAGAATGCTGAATAAATAAATACATGCATATTTTAGTTCAAGTATTTTGTGCTTTGTGCACAAAAGGGTCTAAAAACAAAGTTAGGAAAGTGAGGGCCCCTGTTAAGATTTGGGACTGGCAAATGGACCCAATGGCCCATCACTTACCTCCCAATGGAGAAGAGACACATGAAAAAGATGGCGCTGACAAAGGCATCAGGGTCAAAATCACTTCCCAGAATGTCAATCACACGACCAGAATAGTAAGGGATTACTGTCTCACCTGAAAGAGGCATGAAGGATACCAGATGAATAGGCTGGTGCCAAGGGCCTTTTCCCACCTCCAACTCACAAGGCCCTCTCCTGACTCACCCAACACAGCGACAACAAGGAAGAAGAAGGCGGCAGCCAGGAAAGGCAGGTCTGGCCTGGAGAGCTTCAGCAGCCTCCACATCAAGGCTCTGTTGTTCTCCTGGCCCTGCTCTCTCTCCTGGGCTCCTGGAGGGCTCAGCACAGCCCACACTGCCCAGCCTAGCCCTGCAGCCCCGTACCCCACCAGCAGCCAACTCCAAGATGCTGAAGCCACTCTGAGTGGGGGAGCACTTAAGGCCCCTGGGACCAGGACCCTCAAGGAGAGAAACAGGGGGGTTGCCAGGCAGAGCAGGGGCAGCAGTGTTCCCAGAAATCCCAGCAGACCCCCCAACTTCAACAGCCCCCACAGCCCTACAAGTCGCAGGGTCCCCTCCAGCCACAGGCCTGGAAATCCTGGGGGAAGCACATCCCCCAGGGTCCCCTGAAGCAGCCAGAGTAAGGCCAAGTCCACCAGCAGCAGGGAGGCCCAGGGTCTCAGGTCAGGGAGCCACATGGCGTTACCTGCGGGTGGAAGACAGGAAATTACAGAGAAGTCCCAACCCTCACCCCATCCCCCCACCCCCACTCTGCCCAACCCGTCCATCGGCTTCTCATTTTATCCAATCCCACCCTAAAAGGTCCCCTGGGCACCCTGCGCTCAGTAGTCCATCCCTCCTACGACGGAAGGCATTCGGCCTGTCCGAGGGAGCTAGGAAGCCCGACCACAGGAGCCTCATCCTTTATAAAGAATTCCCGTGACCCCCCATCCCCCGCCCGCCGCCGCCGCCGAGTTCCAAAGAGCCAGGCGGTCCCCGCCCCGCTCCCCTGCACTCCCGGGTCCAGAGGGACGGGGAGGAGGGGCGTGGAGGGGCTGGGGGACTGGGATGCGTCTCTGTTAGCGCTCCAGGTTTCCATCCGCACGAACTCACCAGCGGCGGCTTCGGGACCACGGCTCCGAAGGTCTTTCCGTGGAGCGCTGAAGACCGAGCTCTGAAACGCGCTCCCGCGGTCTCAACTTCGTCTCCCCCTTCCGCTCGCCGGCGCTGCTCCCCCAGCGAGCGCAGCCGCGCTCCTGCGCCTTTCGCTTTCGCTTTCGCTTCGCGTTCCGGGCGGCGCGGCCAGCGGGGGGCGCGCGAGACCTGCAGACCGCCGGCCCGGAGCCCCCAGCTCCTGCTCGCACTTGCCAGGCCCAGGTGACTCTCCCACCCTTAGCAACACTCTGGGATAGAAAACGACTGCAATTTTTTTTAATTGTCACTAAGTGAAATAAAGCTGTTTCCAGAGTGGGATGCTTTATAATTGGAGAACCAATCAATTTTCTTACTTCAATCTCGTGCTACCTCAAGCTCTGAACCTATTTTCAGAGCTGCCCTCTTCCCCTGTCCAAGCGCCAGTTTTAGGGTCTTGGGGTAAAAATAGACCCAGATAATAAGCGAGAAACACACAAGACCTATCCTAAATAGAAGATTTCAGCCACTCTCCCCAGGGCCTAAGTGGGTTTCCACTTACAGATCTTGAGCTTAGGAGGCCCTGACCCTTTATCTCACCCTTTATCTTCGTCTGTCCTTCTCAACACAGCACCTTGAGCAGAGCACATGTTCAGATGCTTCTAAATTTGTGCTCCAAATTGTGTGGGAAGCACCTTCGGCATAGAAGGGAAATGGACTTTGTTTCTTGGTCTGTTTCAACGCTGATTAAAACAGTAATCAGGCTTCTACAGATCCTGCCTGACCTAGAGTTTATCTATGGAACATGCAGATTTGTTTATTCCAGAAATAACTCTTCAGGTTGGAACTACCTCCCAAACTCAAAATATCCCCAAGGAGAGGATCGCTTGGATTCCAAACCACCTTTTTGAAATGTTATTGGTGTGACTACAAATAAGTCACTTCAAGTTTAAAATAGTGTGGGGGAAGGGGGAGAGATTTAAAGTAGGGGATTACTAAAATTTCTCCAACCTTGTCCATTCTGGGATTTTAAGGATCTCTTCCTAATGAAAAAAAGCTTCACATTCAGCTACTTTCTTCTTTCAAGCTTTTCCTTTCACTAACTCTGCTTTGAAAGGTGACATTGTGCCTGCTCCTTCTTGAAGCTCCAGCATGATTCAGAAAACCTCATTATGTGTGTCTCAGTTTTCTAACCTGGCTACTTTTTCCTCCTATTCCCCACTTTAGGGAGTCCTCTCTATCTCCTCTTCCTCTTCAATCATGGTCCTGTCATCTTGTAATTGAGCATGACACATCACGAAATTGAACCCCTAATGTCCATCTTTACATTCAATATCCAATACATCCAAAGTGTTCTTTGAGGTAAAGTTACTACCATGTTTACAATTACCGTACACATGTGAGGTGAGAGCTTTTTCATCCGACTCTGCAAAGTCGAAAGCAGTTGTTCTAGGTACCCTACTCCCAGACACCCAAACCATTAACAATGGACCACACAGGAGTCTCCAGGTCTGCCCTATAGAAAGTCTTCCCTATAGAAAGGACCCTAACCTGAATTAAATTGCAAGTGAGTGTCCACAGACCACAATGATCAGCCTTCCTGAGGTCCTGGAGAGATGAGTGTGGAAGGAAAACCCAGGAGAAATATTTGGTGAGGCCCCATTTCTTAGGTAGGGCTTTGAGTCTCTCTTCTCAGGAAAAGCCTCTCTTTATTTCCTGCTCCCTTCCCCACTAACAAACACATCCCCAAGCCCACTCAGCCACAACACAGAAGCTTTTATAACCGTTTTCCTTTATTGTGCTTAGTGGGGCACCCAGAAGGTTGAGGTGGGGGGAGGGAAACAGAGAACATGCAATGGATGAACTCTGCCCTGCCCCCACTGGCTGCCAGTTCTCTATCTCTGGGCTCAGGTTAGGCCCCTCTTTCTCCTGGGGCATAAGCAGGCCCAGGTCCCTCAGTCAGCCAGGCTTTCCCAGAGGAGGCCAGCCCAGCGGCCACCACTGTTACTGACTGGCCTCTCGATACTGGTGCAGCAGGTCACTGACGTCTGTACTTTCCACCTTCACCCAACCATCTTCCTTCATGTGGTACACTGTGGGCAAAGAAGAAAGAACATGGCGTCACCTTTCACTTCAGCAAGTTCCTGTTAATAATGTTATGTTGTAGGCAACAACAGCAACACACACGCTCAAAGCCCTTATTACTGGGACTCCAATACTCCTCTTCTGACTCGGAAAACCTTCTCCCTGCCACTCTACCCTCCCTGAGTCTCCCAACCTCAAATCCCCCTTCCCCGCCCAGGGGCGTGGTGGTGGGAGCATTAGTCTCTTACTATTGACAACGCCTCCAGAATAGCTGTCTCGGTGGGTGGCATGAACAATAGCCCTGCGGCCCAGGTCATAGGCCTCTTCGAGGCTAAGATTGTTCCGATAGCCACTATCCATGACCCCATAGGCATAGGAGTTCCCGCTACCAGTGGAGAACATATTTCCTGAGAGCCGAGTCCCATTTTCATCCACATAGTAGAGTCCAGGACCCTACAGGAGGCAAGAAGGTTCCAGGTTGGAATTGGAGAGGGAATTGTTGGTAACATACAGGTTCAAGTGTGAGACACAAAAAGTGGACAAAAGAATAAGAATTACCACAAGAACATCTGAACCAGGACAACACTTTGATAACACTCACAGAACTTTAGGGGAAAAAAAGGAAAAACAAACCTGGAATCAGCAATTTTATCAAAAGGGACAAGCTTATGAAACAATGGTCCACATCTAGACCCAAAAATAGCCTGTGGATATGATGGAACAGTTCTATAACTGAGCATTCTATGTGGCACGCATCTTGTAGGGGAGGGAGTGGGAGTGTACAATGGGGAAACTGACCTCTCATCCACGGTGGGGGAATACGGAGAGTGGAGGGCACCCACCTTCTTGTCCCAGCCACAGATCATGCTGCCCATGTTGAGGCCCATGCCCCGGTACTGGCACATCATGTTGGAGAGCAGTTTGGAGGCTGCTGACACTGAGATGCGCTCCCCATTCCGCAGATAGTACAGCCTGGGTGAGGACAGGGCAGTGCAGGGAGAGGACTTAGAGGAGGCAGGAGAAGGCTAGCTCTCCAAGCAAGCAGCCCAATGGATGGGCAAGAAATGAAGAGATAAGCATTTGAAAGAAGTGATTTTGTAAGATCTCCGGATGGGGGAGAGATTTGGAATTTAAAGTACCTAAACCATATAAAGAAATCCTAGTAAATAATACTCTCCCACCAGGGTTGATGGTGTCGGTGCTAAATCACCGACAAATTATCTGGCTTATTGGCAGGAGCACAAGCTGAGATTTGGGAGGTTTTTATCACCAAAAGGCTGTTTTATGAAATAGTACATTAGCACTGAGATGCTATGTTAGCACAGGGGGAAAGGGTGAGGAGCAGTGATCTGGAGGATCCAGGTTCCAGGATGGACCACCAGGCTTAGAATGGAGGCGAGAAGCCTTGCCTACCTGCACTCCTTGGCCAGCAGACGCTCCCAGTACTGACAGTCCGCTGCAGAGCCAGACATGGTGCCAAGCAGATAAGGGTTAATCTCAATCACCTTATTCACCCTTAAGGTGGCTGGAGGAAGATGGAGTTTTGAGAGAGGAGGAATGTCTCCACAGCTCTCCCTCTGTATCCTAAACCAATATCTGTTTTTGCTTTGGTGCAGATGTTGGGCTCCTGCTGAGCAGTGGGCCCAGCTCCCAGGATTCCAGCTGCTGGAACACATACTCACCAATGTAACTCCCAGCTGAGGCCCGAGAATCCACCGCCACGATCACTCCATGCTGGAACTTGAAGGCCAGTGTGGTAGTGCCATGGGCCATCTCAATCTGAATGTTCTTTTCTCCGTTCCCACCCAGGGACTGGAAGAAGTCAGTGGGCTAGTGAGGGAGAAAAGGCAGAGAAAGGGGCAATTAAAATTTCTGAAGCAGGAGGCTCCAGGACAGGGTTTTAGAGAGAATGGGAGGGAGGGGACATGCAGAAATTCTCCCACCATCAATAAATGGAACAGTTAGTAACTAATCTCTACAAGGAAACGGCTTGGGAGAAGGAAAAGACGAGCCACACCACACCAAACTTTTCCATTTTCCAGCGCAATAGAAATGAAAAAAAAATAAATGTTACCATAGCTAAAAATGTTACAGTGACTTGAGTGTTTTTTCCATTCACAGGTCATTTAACCCTCACCAACACATTTATTAATAGTATCCCCTGTGGAGAGAAGGGAACTCTCATACACTGCTGGTGGGAGTGCAAACTGGTGCAGCCACTATGGAAAACAGTATGGAGATTCCTCAAAAAATCAA